ATTGGGAATTAATCAACCTAATTGGGAGTTACTCAATTTAATTGGGGGTTACCCAATTAAATTGAAGACTACCTAATTGGGTTGAGAATTGATTCCTAATTCCTACCCCGATTCTCAATTAAATGAGGAGTTACCTAATTGAAATAGGATTTGATTTGATACCTACCACAATTAGGGATTTGATTTACCCTAATAAATCAAATCCCTAATTAATCAAATCAATTCCATAAAGGGGAGGAATAATTCCCTTCCATCTACGGAATTATTCCTCTGAAACCCTAGCCTCCAAGACCATTATAAAAGCATAGCTACACACAAGGGTGGAGGTACGTCTAAATTCCTACTGAAACTCTGCAGAAATCATTTCTCACAAACCCTAGCCACCACTTTCTTTCTCTCCCTTACACAAGGCTCCGGCCACCACACACGGCTCCGGCCATCCGGTTTTCCTTGAAATACCTTACCTAACTTAGGCATCGGAGGGCCTTTGGCCAACACCCCCCGGGTGTGGTCCTTTTACTCCGATATGTTTTGCAGAGAGAAAGAAAAGCGGAGAAGACGAAGAAATCTTTGACGAATATTCTCGTGGGGAAAATCATTCCCTCCAACTGTCATCGTGTTTTTGATATTTTATGTTTTTAATACGCACAAAAAAGAAAGTTCACATTAAAATATTTTAATGTTGATTGTTAAAATGTGGGCCTTGTATTGTTAGTTTAGTTGAATTCAATTACTATATTTCAGCCAAAAAATAAAAAAACATGTGCAGAAAATTTAATTTAAAAAATAAAAAATAAAAACACATTAGATGGGAGAGGGATGGGGATGGTATTGTCCTCACCTCCATTCCTGTTATGAAATTTTGGGGAATCCCCGACCCCGTCCCCATCCGGGGATTATATCCCAAACCACGCCCGAATCTCCAATTATATATTTAAAAATTATAAAAACTATCCATATTACATTTCACTTTCACCTTAAACTATCATTCAATTTAATTAAATTCAATTAAACTATAAGTTTCACTAAACTACTCAAATTCATTTCAATTCAATTTGACAAAAATAATAAAATCATATCATTTTCTTTGAAAAAATGGGGTAAAAATTAATGAAACTAATACAACATATTGTTTTCATCAACAATTCATCGTCAAGATGAATATCCTCACTCAATGGAAAACAAAAAAAACTTGCGCAAGAAAAGGATATGTGGTTGTACATTATACATACAGCTACTAAATCATAGCGGCCATGCTACTTTAATAGAGTAATCTAACTTAATTTAATATTATTTAATTAGTTATTTATACATTAAAACTTTTTAATTGTTATCCATATATATAAAGCAAAAGACAGAGAATGATGAAACATTCAAAATACCAGAAAATGCCCTTGATTAATTCAAATATTAAGAATTGAAATTATTAATTAAATGAGAATAATATGGTAAATTCACATTTTGTCACATTAAAAAAAATTAAAATTAAAAACAAAATTTGATAATAGGTATATATAATTATTAATTTAAAATAAATACATCATTTATTGGGCGGGTTCGACGATGAGGAACTTGTGATCACAAAATGATGAAAGCAGGCCCACTTTTTCAGCAATAATAGATCCATGGCAAGATGGAATTTACTTTTCCGAGTTTCCAGAGCAATAATAAACACATAGCAAGATGTCTAAGCAATAACTTGTGATCCTCTCTCTTCTAGTACATCTGAGCTGAGCCCCAACCTACCATCACACAAAGGAATCTTATCTTCTCATGTATTTTGATTTTTAAATTTTGTGTTACATCCGGTTTATTGCTCCCCAGAATCAATTCTAGATGTGTTGTTTTGATTAAGCTAGCATATACCAAAATAAGGCCATTATGGCGTCAGTTTCAGTAGACCTCTTCATTTGCAAATTTGTAGGTATTCTCGAGAGTGAAGCAGCCTCCATAGCGGGCGTTGGTGATCATGTTGATGAGATTAAGCGGGAGCTGGAATTCATGAAAGCCTTCTTAGCGAATGCTGACGAGGGCAACAAAGCACACACACAAGTAGAGCAAGTGTGGATCAGAAGTGTTCGAGACTTGGTCAATGATGTTGAAAACATCATTGATGAATTCATGTATCACGTGTACGAGCAGCAAATTGCCTGTCGATTTTCCAGGTGGATCCACAAAACCATTCACTTTCCAAAGCACCTTTGGTATAAGCGTAAAATAGCCAACAAGTTACAGAAAATCGCGATGGCAATTAGAGCTATTACAGAGAGAAGTCAGAGATATGGTGGTGGTGCAGCTGTAGAAGGAAAAAGTACTTCTTCTGAGGATATTCGCAGATGGGTGCAGATTCAAGCGTTGTCTTCTCTTTATCATAAGGAGGATGAACTCGTCGGGATTGAAGGTGATAAGAACATGTTAATGGGATGGCTGACGAATGAAGAGCAATGCCAAACTGTTGTGTCTGTGGTCGGGATGGGAGGATCGGGGAAGACAACTCTAGTTGCAAGGACTTTCAAAGATGAAATTGTAAAGAGACATTTCAAATGCTATGCGTGGATTACTGTTTCCCAGTCTTATGTGATTGAAGACTTACTTAGAAGATTGATCAAAGAATTCCACAAAGCAAAGAAGGAAGAGGTCCCTGCAGACATGAATGCCATGAGTTATAACGAATTGCTGGAGATTTTGATGAACTACTTGGAGACTAAAAGGTACCTAGTTGTATTGGATGATGTGTGGGATGTCCACCTTTGGGAGAAAATAAGGTTTTCATTTCCAGATAAACAACTTGGAAGTCGAGTCATGCTTACAACTCGAAGAGAAGACATAGCATCCTCTTCTTTTGGAGTTGAAAGCCATGTTCACAAGATTCAACCGCTGGAAAAAGGTGTTGCGTGGGAGCTCTTCAGCATGAAAGCATTCTCAAGTTATCCAAACAAATCTTGTTCAACAGAAATTCTGCCAATAGCTCGGGAACTTGTGGAGAAGTGTGAAGGCCTACCTCTAGCGATCGTAGCATTGAGTGGTCTTATGTCTTCTAAGAAGTCACTTACAGAGTGGAGCACAGTCTACAACAGCTTAAATTGGCATTTAACAAACAGTCCTTTGCTAGAACCTATGAAGATGCGCATCTTGTTGTTTAGTTTTAATGATTTGCCATACCGATTGAAGCAATGCTTTCTATATTGTTCACTTTTCCCTGAAGATCACGTGATCTTAAATCTTAGGCTCATCACATTGTGGATCGCTGAAGGATTTGTTGAACATGTCGAAGGGCTCACGCCAGAAGAAGTTGCAAATAGCTATCTTATGGAACTCTTTTTTCGTAACATGCTACAGCAAAGGTTTCGAGGACCCCTCCCAGCATGTAAGATGCATGATCTTTTGCGGGAGATTGCCCTATCTATAGCAAAAGAAGAAAAGTTTTGCGCTGTACATGATGGGAGTGAAACAGTAGAAGAAACTAGGGCACTCCGTTTGTCAATTCAAACAGCTAATGGAGAAATTGGATCATGCACAGGTATATCACGGCCTTGTTCGTTTCTCGTCTTTGCCACTGACTTATCCTCATTCTCTTTCCCAAATAAATTTACTTCTGACCTTAAATTGCTGAAGGTTCTAGATTTGGAGGATGTCCCAATTGATAATCTGCCAGACAATCTAACATCCTTATTTAATTTAAAATACTTAAATTTGAGTCGAACTCCAATTACGGAGCTTCCGGAATCCATTAGGCAGCTCCACAACCTTCAGACCTTGAACATCACGGGGACAAAAATAGAGGCACTTCCAAGAGGGATTTCCAAGTTGCTAAACTTACGCCATTTACTTATGGGCAGGTTCATTTCCAGAAAGATAATTGGGGTAAGAATACCATCAAGTATTAGTAAGATGATGAAATTGCAAACTTTGGCAAATATTGAATCAGAAGGAAACATTACTAGACTTATTGGAAGTATGACCCAGCTTACGTTCCTTGGCATTACAAATGTGAAAGAAAAAGACGAGGAGGACCTATGTGCCTCAATTCAAGAGATGAAGGTCCTTTCCCGCTTGCTTTTATTTGTAGCTGATGGAGAGGAATTTCTTCGAGTTGACGCATTGTCTTCACCGCCTCCCTACCTTGATAGACTTAGATTGGTCGGTAAACTGGAAAAGGTACCACATTGGTTTTGTTCACTCCACTCTCTCGCATATTTGAATCTGCGTGGGTCCAGACTTGAAGAAGATTTTCTACCTCATATTGAAGCATTGCCCTCTCTACGTTCTCTTTGGCTTGATAATACCTCTGTTAAGAAAGAGTTACGTTTCAACAGAGGCTTTGTGAAGCTTTGGTATTTGCAGTTTCAGAATTTCGGATTATTAAATAAGATAACTATAGAAAAAGGGACGATGCCAAATCTCGAGTTCTTAGACATTCGTAGTTGCATGATGTTAGAAACATTGCCACAGGGTATTGAGCACCTTGCTAAACTACATGGATACAGATTTGATAATGTTTCAGAGAAGTTTAGAGATTCCATAAAAGAAGGAGGTGTGGATCATCCAAGGATGCTACTCGTCGACGAGAAATGTAAGAAATATATGTAAGTATCTTTTTTCCTTTCATTGACTTTCCTAAACCTAATGATTTGAAATATTTCCAAAATTAATGATTTGGATGTAAAGCCATATAATTTGTTTGTTATTATAATATCGCTTTTGTCTTTTTATGTATTTTGCAGAAACAAGTCCACACTGATTGAAGAATTTTCCCATGAGTACTCTTTTTACTCTTTTTGAAAATCAAATAATACCCAAGTTGATGTTCATAAAATTGCATCTGCCGCTTCAACAATGGGCAGACGTATGTTGATGATTAGCTTTTGAGATTTGGATAATGGATTCTTTATATTTGGCGTGTTTGTACTTTCTTCTATGTTAATTGTGTTTGTAAGAATACCATCAAGTATTAGTAAGATGAAGAAATTGCAAACTTTGGCATATATTGAATCAGAAGGAAACATTATTAGATTTATTGGAAATATGACCCAGCTTACGTTCCTTGGCATTACAACTGTAAAAGAAAGAGACGAGGAGGACCTATGTGCAATGGCAGATCCACATAGTGGCAAGAGGGGTCAATTGACCCCTGCAAACCCAGAATCTACCATAGGAGGCCAAGAACTTAACCCCTGAAAATTCCCTAGAAGGTGTTTGATGAAATACCACAAAGAGGAAGTAGCCGTAGCACACACAGGTAGCAAGCAGCTTGCTGCGCGCCTGTGCAGCTCTCACATCGTCTTTTTTTTTTCCTCTACGTCAAAACGACGTCGTTCCACTTAAGTGTTTTAAAATAAATAAATAAATAAATAACCTAGCCAAAAACAACATCATTTTGGCTCAAGTGTTTAAAAAAAAAATTACAACTTAGGCAGTAACTCTGCTACCTGATAAAACCTACGAGTGCATCTTGGACGTAAATGTTTCTCTTTCCTCTCTCCTCCCATACAAGAGCAAGTCTTTGCTCTTAGATCTACAGCAAATTCTCCCCATACATATGAATTATTTGATATTTCTTCTCCCCAACCAACCTTGGTATGTATTGACTTGATGCCAAAGTGGCAGACCATATGGCAAAGCTGCTATTGAGATGCAGAGTTACATTGGTGTTTTGGCACGCACCAGAGTCCCTCTTGTGGACAAGAAATGGACTCAATTGCCTAAGGACCTGAAGGAGCAGATTTGGGAAGCTGTTCAAATGGCTTATGTTGTTGGGGAAGGGGGCAAGAAGATGGTGCTGTCGTCTGCCGCCAAAAAATGGAAGGATTTTAAGTCGACCTTAACTAGGCAGTTTATCCTTCCATTCGCAAATGAGAAGGAGAAGTTAAAAGAGCCCCCTCAGCTTTATAACTTCATAGAGATATCTGAATGGGATGCCTTTGTAGCTTCAAGGTTATCCCCAGATTTTGAGGCTGTGCATTCTGAGCAGTCACAGAGAAGGGAGAAATGCGAGTACAACCATAGGTTGTCTCGAAAAGGGTACGTTGGTTTGAAGGATCAATTGGAAGAAACCATGCCCGGTGAAGAAATTGATCGATCTCTGCTATGGAAGAAGGCAAGAGAAGATAAACAGGGAAACATCCATGATCCAAAGGTTGCAAAGAAGGCAAAGTTAATCGTAAGTTTCACTGACTCTGCTCTAAACTTGTAAAACAGAGGTTTTATTTTTCATTCAGACGTCGGTCTTTTTATCAACCGTCGTTAGACACAAAACCCCACAATGGTTTTTAATCACCGCCTTTTAAAAAATAAATAACGTCAGTATTTTTATAAAACCGACGTCCTCATTGAATTACAACGACGGTTTTGTGTTTCTGTATAAGGTTTTTTAAATTAAATTTTGAACTTTCTTCATATCACACGCACACACACTCTCTCTCCCTCTTTATTTCTCTGCAATTGGTTTGTACACTATTTCTGGATTAGTGAATATTTTGGTTAAGTGTTTTTATCTGTGATGTCAAATAAACGATGGTTATTTCATGGACCGACGTCTTAATGTATACAAAACGACGGTAGTTTTGGGACGACGTATTAAATTATTTTCTGCGTCGGTTTTTAAAATAAACCGTCATTATAACCTATTTACCACGTTGGTTAATATTTTTATTAATTTATTTATTTGTTCAGTTTTACTATCTGTTCACTCACTGACATTCTCTCTCTCTCTCTCTCACTTTTAGGATGATTTGAAAAAACAAGTCTCCGAGGGCACTCTGACTGTGTCTGGGAGCAACGATGTTTTGACCATGGCTTTGGGAACACCTGAGCATGGTGGGAGGGTCAGAGGTGTTGGAGCTGGGGTTTCCCCAACTTAATTCTTCAATTTGCATAGACAGTAAAGAGTAAAATTTGCTGACAAATTGAAGGAAAGTGTTGTGGCAGTAGTGAGAGAGGAAACCAAAAAGATGGAGGCCAGGGCAAAGGAAAGTGTTATGGAGGCAGTCAGAGCAGAGAGGGAAATTATGTTGAAACAATTCAGTCAACTAATTCCCAACTTTGATCCCAACATGCTCAGTAAAATTCCAACTACACCAACTACACCAATTACTCCAATTCCTCCAATTCCTCCAATTCCTCAAGAGCAAAGCCCAAAAAATCCAATGTCTGACAAAGCAAGCTGCTCCAATGTGAGAGCCCCTGAATTGGATGAAGACAATCCCATGAATGATGCTGATGCTGATGCTGCTGAAAACCGTCAAGATCAAACGGTAAAATCTCTTACATTTGCTTTTTCTGAATTTTAAATTTTAAATAGACGTCGGTATTTATTTTAAAACCCGTCGTCTAGTTTAACCTGGACGACCTTTCTATTGTGTCGCAACTTTATAACTTTTACACAACGACTGTTATGTATTTACCGTAGTTTATAACCTTTACCCCGTCAATTCTAGAAACCGTCGTTGATATTATATACCACGTCGGTTTTGTTGATTTGTTGGAGTCGTTTATTTTACTTCATGAACACACTAACTTTTATTTATTTATTTATTTATTGTTACAGGATCTCTCAAAGCTTGACATGCCAGCTCCTCTGTTAGCCCTATGCCAATATGTCGAGACCAAGTTGAAGCCTGCTAACGAGACCATTACAGTTCACATGCCTTCACATGCTTGAGGAAATGTTTGGCACTGATCATGATACCTGGCTCTTGAGTGAAGACATTTTACAGTTTGCTTCCATGGTTGAGATTGGAGCCACAATGATTGCAGTATACATGAGGTAATTCTAGAAATCCAATTTTGTTTTTTTTACATTTTCTTTCTTTTAAATTAAGATCTCATTAATTGAATTTCATATATTTAATTAGGTACCTATTTGACTATTTAAAAATGGCAAATATGGTAAAACTTGTTGGCCTCGTGGACCCTGGACAAGTCAACTCTCAATCTGGAACGTTATCTCACCGCTCAAAACATCTCTCAGAAAGCCTGAAAAAGGCAGATAGGGATCAATTTTACTTGGTGCCTTATAATCCAGGGTTAGTCCCCTTCTACACTTAATTGGTTCCTTGTGATTTATTTTTTGTAGTATATTTAATATATATGGATAATTTTGTGTAGGGGTCAGTGGGTGTTAATAATTATGAGACCAGATAAGGAGACTGTCTATTACATGAATTCATTGCCAAACCGCTCTGTTAACGAGGACATGAGAAATATAGTGAACACGTAAGTTTCTTAATGAAAACCTATGATTTTTTATATATGCATTTGATTGATACGACGGCTTTTTCCAATACCGACGTTGTAGTGAAAACACAATGACGGTATATTATAACCGACGTTTTAACTCATTTACAACGTCAGTATTTTCTTGAAACTGTCGTCGTAATTGAAATCCCACGCCGATTTTGTTTTTAATTTTAGGACTTTAGTTATACGTCGTTTTTCTTCGTCACCAACATTAGAATGAAACAGAACGACGGTTCTTATTTTCCGACGTTGTATATAAAATACAACGTCATTTGTTTTACAAAACCATCATCTTCATTTATTTACCACGACGATTAATAATTTTGATGCTGATTTTTAGTTTTGTCATTAACACTTTTTGTTTTCTTAATACAGTTCAATCAAAATGTATAACTCTCACATAGGGAAACAATCATCACGTAAATCACCCATATGGAAAAATCTGCAAGGCACTCCTAGACAACCAGCAACTGTAGAGTGTGGCTATTACGTGATGCGTTTCATGAGAGATATAATTCATGATCCTGCCCTAGCCTTTGAGAAGAAGGTAAAATTTAATATATAATTTCTTTATTTTAACACCACGACGTTTGCTTTAAAAACCGTCGTTTTATTGCTTCTAACACGTTGATTTTTGTTATTTATTTGCAGTTTGACAAGAAAAAGGAACCAGTTGTGTATTCTCAAGAACATATTGACGAAGTCAGGCTGGAATGGGCAGAATTCGTGAACAAGTAATTACAAAACAATAATTGATAATATACATGTATTTTAAAATATTTAGGTTTATTTTAAATTTTTGACAATGTATATAAACATATTTTTAGTAATTAATTGAACATTCATCAAAAAAATCAAATGAAATATGTTTTTGTTTCTAATATTTTTTTTTTTTGTATAAAATATAAATGTTTTAAAATGAACTAAAATGAAAATAAATCATAAAAATGTAAATTAATTCCCAAAATCCGACGTCTCCTTCATCTTTACACGTCACTTATATATAGTTGGAAACAAAACATCGACGGCATTTCTCAAAAATGACATTTAAGGTTCTTTACACGTCGGTTTCTTTAAAAAACTGAAATCTACGAAAAAATTTGTAGAGACATACAACGTCCGTTACATGTTAAATGATGACGTTGTATCCATAAACAACGTCATCATCATAATAGTAATAGACGTTGTAAATAACTAAAAACGTCGGTTATTACATTGCGACGTTTTATGTTTACTAGGACGACGTTACGAATTACTTAACGTCGTTGTAAACTGATGCAACGTCGGTTATGTACTTTTGTAATCAATTTTTGTATGACTTTTATATTTTATTCCTAATATTCGTAATAATT